TTTTGGTACTTGAAATAATGATTTTGGAGGCAGTTATGGGAGTGGAAGGACAAAATAGGAGTGCGAAGGTTGAAAATGAAGCTTGGTGCTGCTCCATCCTCGCAGCATTTGGGAGAGAGGTGGGCTCCTGGGGTGACACTGCAGCTGCTGGAGGGATCCCCCCTTGTCCTGTGTGTTGGCTTTGCAGGTGAAACGGCTGCCTGAGGGGAAACGTGCTCCGGTTCCTCCTCGAGAAAGTTTATTTGTGGATGTTCTGTTGCTCTTTCAGTTCTGTTGGTAATGATGATTTTTTTTCAGGTGGAAGTATAAACTGAGGCTCCAAGTGAGTTCGTAGGACAAAGTCCCTCAAGTGTGACAGTTTCATACATTGCTGTCACCTTTTTAATGCAATAAAAGGGTTTTCTGGGACTTGGGCAGGAGCTTGCTGTGATTGCCAAGCTTAACATTTCCTGGTTTTAAATCTGAGTTTAGTACTTTGGTGCTGAGGGCTCAGAGTAGGCACTGATGGTGGATATCCCATCACTGATGATGTCCAAGTCCATCTTCCCCTACCTCTTTCAGCATCAAAACCATCAGTTTTGGGCCAGAATCACTCTTAAGAAATGTGCTGTATTACCAGATAAGCTAGCACCTGAACAGCCTGATCCCAGGTATTAATTTTTATATTTCAACATGCCACTGCTTAGGTAGCAGCCCAGAAATAACCTGCAGCAAGATGAATTAGGTGTGTCACTGTGGGCAGAAGAGGCCACAAATATATTTAAATATGGCAGGAAAAAAAAAAAGAAAAGGCTTTGAGTTGTATCTGTATCGGTATATAAAAACCTGAAGCCTGTTTAGCCTCCATGAGAACGTTTTGGAGTATCGCTGGCTCATGGTGGGTTTGAACACTCTCCATCCTTACCCCTTTGCTTTTATCTGCAGATCCATCTGTTCTGCACCGCAGTGCGTTTTGGGGGGCAGCTTCCCAAAGCTCGTGGCAGCTGTACAAGTGAACCTTTCGTGGTAATTATGGTTTTGTATAAAACCACACTGAAGTGTGATTCTTTTTTGGGCTTTCTTACGTAGGAATTGCTTATAAAAGTGTTCGCAGAGGCCACGTTGTTCACGGGGCTCCAAGCACTGCAGTCATTTTCCCTGCTCGCTGCAGCGGTATGCATGTCTCTTAAGGTCCAGCTCCTTTTTGTTTAGAGGTTAAATAACTTGGCTGTAACAATTGATTTAGCAGTTTGACTTCAATTTCACAGCCTTATGCACATGTTACAGAGCCACAATGAGTCACACAGCACAGGGAGGTTTATATTTATAATATTGCATATATTTTTCTAATCTGCATTCACTGCGATAATGCTTAGTGTTTCTTTTCCAAGGTACTCAAGTTTGCTGTTTGGGTTTCAAACTTGAGCTCTTTTTCTTGGCAGTGAAAACCTGTTTTATGGGGATGCCTTGATGGAGAAATGGACTCGTGAGTCAGGTCATCAGGTCACAACTGACAGGGGATGTAACTGAGCACATGTTTTGAATGTTTTCGTCTGTCTGTTAGGATTAAAAAATGCTTGATCCTTTTCTTAATGTCACAATTGATCAAAAAATGTATGTAGAATTTCTTTGGCAAGCCCTCTGACTGTTGTTACAGTGACTGACATGCGGTGAAGTACTTCAGAATTGCAGTTTGTCAAGAGAAATGGTGGAAAGAAATAGCTCTGAGTAACCCTGCTTGGGCTTGTGTCCTGTCTGCAGGTGTTTCACCAAAACCAATGGCACTTTCAGCAGCAACGCGCTACCCGTTGTGCCCATCGTAGCACCTTATCAGCAGGATGGTTTGGAGATGAAACCCCTGAATCACCACGTCATGGTGGCCATGTGCTTGGCCTCCAGCGTCCCGGAGTTCAGCGCCCGGCTGGAGGAGGAGGATGGCAAGGAGAAGACGGAGCAGCCCCCTGCCCAGCACCCCTGCTGTCGGGAAGGCATGAACCAGCTCTCCGTGGATTACACGGACGGTAAGGCATCCTGGAGAGGGAAGCGCCTGCTTTTGAAGCCGGGAATAATCTGTAGGACAGCTGCAGAGCGCTTAATTTATTGCGGAGAAGCTGGTAATTAAGCCCACAAAAAAAAAAACCCTGGCTTTTTGAGAAAGATTAAACATTCCGCCCTTCCCATTGTGGAAGAGAGGAGCAGCCATGCTCAGGTGCTGTCGTGCCCTTCGTGATTGATGCCTGTAATCGAAGCTCATCAAGCAGGCGTGCTCCAGATTACGAGCCTGGGACTGATTTATGTTGGCTTGCAGTTGCCTGTACCTACAGCCTACCCGTGGCCTCCCAAAACTGCTGAAATGCTAATGGAGTTTTCCCCTAAGGAGCAGGCGTCTGTGGTGGCCTAGAGCCATCCTGTAGGCAGGAGGAGGGGCAGAAATTTAGGTGGGAGTTGGGCTGAACTAATCGACCTGACTGATTCCCTATCAGCCGCTGCTCTGAGCTGCTGCCCAATGTTTTGTGCCTTTCTTCTGACAGGCAAGAAATAATTATGGGCATAAAAGAAAGCAATTTTTAGAAGGGTTATTTTCTGGATCTCTCAGGACATGTTCTTGAAGGAATCGTATATGAAGAGATATTTCTGTGTGTAAGCTCAGATCATGTTTATCTTCACAATTCTTTTGGTCACAGAATCACTATATACTGTGAAGTCAGCATATTTGGTATCTCTAGGATTTTTGCAAGCATACAAGGATCACTTGTTGAGAATTGCCAAAGAACCCACTGGATGTTTTTTAAATACAGTACTATATTTTCCCATTTTATAATCAGCGTACAAATATGTCCACAGAACAAATTCTGGTCCGTTGCAGTGTACAACCTGAGGCAGGTGCTAACCAGATACGGTTTGCTCATCCCAATCACATTATGGGAATGAGCCTAAGCTCAAAGGACATTACCCACTTCTATCAGTCTGAATTTTTTGTGTTTGTGGGTCTGTTGAGCTGAAATAGGAGATGATCTACTCATAAAAATAAAAAAAAAAATCACCACAACCCAAAAAAAAACCCCCAACAACCAACCAACCTGCCCTGTTCTTGCTTTGCAGGTGACAACTGCGTGCACTCAGAAACATCGAACCACATTTTGAGCTGGAGTCCCCTGATTCTGCAGCCTGTTTCGAAGGACTGTAAGGAAAAACCAGGATGGAGTTCATCCAGAGTCACCTTAAATGGTTCTGGGGACCTTCGGCAGCTCCAGCTGCAGGAAACCTGAGGAAGTGACCATTGTCCCCACTTAACGCCAGTAACTGCACAGCAGAGTCGCTGAAAGGGAGTGATGGGGGGATGTTAATTATAACAGAGAGAGTCACTATTTATTTTTTTGTAGTAGTGTCATATGAATGTATCTTGTTTTTAAAAATGGTTGCCTTTTTATATTATTTATGCCTCGAAATTCCTTTTTTTTTTTTTTTATTCCCCCCTTCCTTCCCCACCGCGAAACTAGCCTGGTTATGTGTATAAAAAAGAATTGTAATAATATAAAGAACAACGATGGGAAATTTGGAGTGTGTTTTCCATGGCATATTACCCGCACAAGAAGCACAGGATTGAGGAGTCTGGAGGGATTTAGCGGAGCGGGTCTGATACTTGTGACCGATCGCTGCTGCACCGCTGGCAGCTTGGCTTTGCGCTCCTCCAACCCTCCTGTCCCTGAACGCCTCCCATCCTCTTTCAGTTTCTCTTGGAAGAACCCAGTGGGTAAATACAAAGAAAACAAAAAACCCTCCAACTTTGGCTGAGTCTGTACAGTGCGGCTTGAGGAGCAGAGCTCAGTTTGGTGACTGTTTGTGTCGTTTGGCGGTTGATAACCCTTGTGTTTGCGGAAGCACGGGTGAAAATCCAGCCTGTCTCTCCTTCCTACTCACAGAAGACAGAAATCCATTTCACCTGTGCTTTTAACTCCTCGGTTTCAGGGAATACTCACGGCTTGAACAGCCTCTGAGATGAAACAAGTTGCATTCAAGCAGCTCCCGCTGGCTGTAAGAAACCTGCCAGCCCCGTGGATACAGCGTGATGTAGGTGTTGCAGCATTAACTGCAGGGTTCAAGGTTTTTCTCTTTTTTTTCCTCCTTTCCAAATTTAATCAAGAGTAAATAAACCAGTGCTTGTAAAGCACTCCCC